GACGTGCTCCTAGAGACGGATGCCTGGAAGTTCAGACTTCCCCTCAGCCGGCACGCGAGAGATGAATAATAAGCAGTTCCACGTGGAAGAAATATTGGAGATCTCAGCTTGTCCCTGAGTAGCCTTGGTGATGGTTGCGTGGGAACGACTTGTCATTCATTACGATGACGTCAGTTACTTATGTGTTGCCAGTTTTGTAGTTGAGGCAACGCCCAATCCAGTATACGAACCCAAAACAGCTACTTTGCCCACGTTGGCGTTCTTCCTGAACAATTAAAACGAAGTGATGGAAAGTTGCGGTATATAAACGTCTACCTAAAATGGACGTAATTATCTACACGTAAAATATGCAGTGTTTACAGTGTTTGACCTCTAAGACGTGTGCACACGGGAAGGTTACGAGCAGTTTTCGAGGGAAAAGACCTAGCAGGTTAGTGTAACGGTAACACTAGACTTGTATTCTGGATATATCCGTTTTCAAATCTTGGCGACGTTACTGGACGTCATGGTGGGCATATTTTTCACAGCTATTACGGGATAGCACCTTAAAATAGGCTTCGGTCGTTCCGTTTGGAATTTACATTTATTCACAATTCATAAATCTGTACTCCTCCCCCAGTATTGTCAGGGTGATTAAGTCGAGAAGAATGAGATGGGCTGGGCATGTAGCGCGCATGGATGGGGCAAGAGTGTGCACCGGGTATTGGTTGGGAAGCCTGAGGGGAAGAGATCGCTGGGGAGACCTAGACGTAGATGGGAGGATAATCTCAGGCGGGATCTATGGGAGATAGGAGTTGAAGGAGACTGGATTTTGTTGGCCCAGGACAGGGTCCGGTGGAGGGCTTTGGTTAATTCGGTGATGAACCTTCGGGTTCGGTAAGCCATCTAGTTAGTTAGTTAGTTAGTTAGTTTTGTGTTTCGATGGACGCAGTTGAGATATATAGCATCGTTAAGCAACCCAGGAATCAGTCGAAAGAAATAGCTTCCAGTCGATAGAGAACGCATTGGTTGAGTTGTCAGCGACCGTGTTAAGTGAAGAGAAAACGCTACCCATTTGCAATCGGGCGATGTCTGGTTATCACTAATATTTTCATGGTTTCATTAACCTCGTCTGGAAACGTAGGGGTTTATCTTGACCGCTTTCATCCTTTCAGAATCACCACACATAATATCGGTAATCTGACGCTAAAATCGCCGAAATTGATCCAGCGTCGTTAGAGTTTCAGCCTATATGAACAGTTAGTATTATGCTGCAGTGGTTGTCGAGTTCCGGCTTAGTTGACAGGCGCATTATGAACATTTCTTAATAAACCTAGTGTCTGCGTTATTATTACGTGTCACGTGGGACTGTTACCTGGACGAAGCTAAAACTGCTCAAGCAGTGCGAAGAAACGAAAGAGCTCATAATTCAAACACAGAAGATGACCGTCTTTTGGGTGTAGAAGTTTACCTGCACACGGCGACCCGTCGCATGAGAACCTCGGATCTCAATAGCTTTCGGTTAGTTATTTGCATGGTGATGTGAAACAGCCCAATTGGCCTCAGCAGAATGAAATACGATTCGGTAGACAAGGAATAGGATTTTAATTTGTAGTGCGCTTGAACCGAACGTAACTTGAGTTTTCATATTTGACGATAAAATGCATCAGTGATTATTATATATAAGTATTTATTTCTTGAAGGAGGGAGACAGGAAGTAAAGGAGAATCAAGGAAAGAAAAAAGGAAGAGAAGAAATAAACTTCCTTTTCTTCATCTGGAAAGTATTTATGTGAGAAATATTGCTCTTGGATCAGACGTTTAGAAATCCTGCTTACATTGTACGGCAAATTTCTTGAGACTTACAGCTGAAGGAGCGGTATTCTGGGCGCTACAAAACGGATTGCTAGGATATTGCCATAAAGGAAAATGCACCAAGATCTATTACATGTTAGTGCGGAATTAGGCGTGGAGGCAAACGGAGAAAACACCGAATACTGTCTGAGTGGAGAGTTGGCTCGACATTCAAACGCACAGATATTCTAATACGGGGCATAGACACATCTGGCGACTTCAGTTTCTAATTTTCTATCTTCCTAGTGTTTGTATCATTATTGTATCTTTGGTTTTTAATAGTTTATAAAGAATTTAGTGCACTGGTCACTGGAAACACACCACTAGTATCATGCAGAATGCTTCATCAGTGGTATCATTGTTGGTAAGGGGCATGTTTTTAGGACAGCTTTCAGTATGACGTCACGGCTTCAAGGTCGAGTCAGTTCTGCTGTATTTTCGTGCGTTGTCACCAGACTGCAGGACAGCATCGTGTAATAAATATTGATAATAACTCCTTCGAAAACATGGCAGTGGTTTATATACATGGGAATTGCTTCTAGCAGATCAAAATTGCATTCACGAAGACAATAAGAGCAAATTAAATTCAGAGAATGCTTGTTACCGCACAGTTTTGGAAACTTTTGTATATGAGTCCGTGTGAAAACAAAGATCAAAATGTTCAAAGCAGTAATTTTACCTGTCGTATTGTGTGGCTGTGAAACTTGGCCTGTCACATTAAAGGAACACATTGACATTCGCAAGAAACTGATCTTTTGTAATGTGAGACAAAAGGTGTAAAGAATACAATTATTTAAATTAATTTCTCATGGTTTTCTTATTGAATCGTAATGTACATTTCGCTAGTGGGTTATGTACAACAGTTAGTATTAATGTGTATTTTCTTTTAATTTCTAAAATTATGTTCGTTGAAACTGGAAACAAATTTGGCCCATAAGCATTTATTTATCCAGCTTCAATGTTATTGCGAGCATCGTGATCACATACCTTTCTCAGATAAGATAGAGGTATAATTGAGTTACACACAGCCATTGTTAAGAAATGTGGAAATCTTTGAACTGATTAGCAGTTGTTTCTCTTTCTACTGAATGGCGCTTTGTCAGCTGCATAATATTATAGTGTGAAACAGCAGACTGGTTCTTAGGTTATGGAGTGGAAAAGGTAAGTCACTCTGACGTAGTTAGTTGAGATCTTTCTCAAACCCTCTACATTCATATATATATTCTGTAGTCCCAGATTTGAACATGGGATTTTCCAAATAAGAAGCAGGGGTAATAACCTAAAAACTGTCGTCATTTGTCTCCTGTGGCATCTTTTTTTTACTATAAAAATTTGTGATTCCTCGTTGTCTTCAACCAATTTGTCGTCAAAAAATGACGTCATCAACAATGCCAACAGATATTTGTTTACTCGGCATTGTTGTGGAACACAACAATGCCGTGTAAACAAATATCTGTTGGCATTGTTGATGACGTCATTTTTTGACGACAAATTGGTTGAAGACAACGAGGAATCACAAATTTTTATAGTAAAAAAAAGATGTCACAGGAGACAAATGACGACAGTTTTTAGGTTATTACCCCTGCTTCTTATTTGGAAAATCCCATGTTCAAATCTGGGACTACAGAATATATATATGAATGTAGAGGGTTTGAGAAAGATCTCAACTAACTACGTCAGAGTGACTTACCTTTTCCACTCCATAACCTAAGAACCAGTCTGCTGTTTCACACTATAATATTATGCAGCTGACAAAGCGCCATTCAGTAGAACTCGGAACAGCGACGTAAAGAACTAAAACATCAGACATACTTAACAAAAAATAGAAGAGGAAAAAAGAAGACTTGCAATGTTGGGGTTGGACGTAGATAGTTGACCAACCAAGAACTGTTGGCCTCTGATCAGCGACGTAAAGAAGTAAAATAACAGATTACAGGAAGCGCTCAGAAAGGATTAGCCATCGTTGTCGTCAAAAAAATGACGTCATCAAAAATATCACCTTATATTTGTTTATACACGGGGGTTAGTTTAGTGTCTTACTCAAGATTTTAAAACGCAACCAACCCCCTTCGGGGGGTTGGTCAAGTGTTTAAACCCCCCATTCGGGGGGGGGGGGTAGTTTAGTTTCTTACTCAGGGGTTAAAACACTTGGATGAGACACTAAACTAACTCCCCTTTGGGACTAACCAAGGTTGGTTGCGTTTTACAAACTTGACCAATCCCCCCTAGGAGCTCCGAAAGGAGCGCCCTGCTCTAGTTATTAAAATTTCGCTCTGTGTTACTGATACTTTAATGGTGGTGTTATTATTGTTGCTGTTGCCGTCGTCATTATGATAATATTTTTATCGTCACGAATGTCCATAAACCTATAAGATGGGTAAAGACTCAAGGCCAAAGGTAGAATTATAAAAGCATGGGGCAGATTATAAGAGGGAAAATGAAGAGACTCTGAAAAGAGGTTATTAGGCCACTAGGGGCAATGAGTTGCCAAAGACTGTGAAGGCAAATATTATTAATACTACTGCTGTTATTATCATGATTATCATTCAAGAATGTGAAGAATCCTACCAGTTTGGTTATTTTTTTTGAGTTTGAAGCATTTAATTAATAAAATCCAGAGACTGACTGATTCTTGTAGGATTCGAGGTTTTAATGGCGTTGAGTTTGAAGATGGTTGTCTTATGGGTTTTGCGCTGTGTAGTCTGGTAGAAGTTTACCGACGTTTCAGAAGTCCTTGCTGCCTCCATAATCAGGGCAATGACCGATTCTTGGTTTATGGCAGATATTATATGGCACCATACAGATTTGAATGTGATTATGGGTGTTCATCTGGAAGGAGAATGATGCGAATTTTCAGACACTGTTATGATATTTGCCTTGAAACTGAAAATTCTTAGTAAAGATAGTTGGTAACTTGGATGTGTTTTGAATGGGATACCTCTTGAATACAAAGCTGCATTGAGAATAGTACACCAACCTCTGCTGTGATTTATCTGATTAGCTTTATCAGTCAACATACTACCTAGTTAGAAGTCAGTCTTAGTTAAGTTGCAGATCATGGTGGCAACTTTTAATTTGCTTGTCTGTGAATATTATGTGAACGTACGCATATAACCCACAGTTTTAAGATTTTGATTTGCCTAAGTTGTTTTTAATACGTTCCTGCAGGGCATCACAACCAGGCGATGGTTCACCATACAAACCACAGCGCCAGTCAGCTGCTCCCAGTGGTGCTTCACCTCTGTCACCTGGTTCAGGGCGTGCAGGGGCTACCGGTTACCCTGGATATACGGGTGCCGCAGCCCGCGAAGCCACTGCTGCTGCAATGCGCTATGTACAACAGTCTCCATATGGTGGTGCCGTGCCCTACAGGGATAATCCTTACACCGTGCCCCGTAATCCGGTAAGCCACGTGACAAAACCATTTTTTTTAAATTATCTCTTGTGATGAGGTGAAAGCGGTCTCATGATATTGACGGGAAAATCAAGTAACCCAGAAAAAAAACCTGTCCTAGTGCCACTTAGTTCATCACAAACACTCACGTGGACTGCCCTGGGAGGGAAGCAAGGCCTCTGTTGTGAGAAGCTGGTCACTAATCACCAGACCTTTTACTAACCTCTCAGAAGCGCCCATGAAGCTCTGTGTCGTTAGAGCATGTACTGATATTGTTGCCCGAGTTTAGAAGATTTTCACCTTCCAGCCTTTTATGATGTGAAAATAGAACAGACACAAAAAATTAGAAATGAATGTGACAAATAATTAACTTCCTGATATGTTCGAGTAGATTTATATCTTCATCTGGAACTACTGTGTCAAGTGGAATGTTTCCACGTATTTTCCATTTCATCCTTATCATACTGTAATTTGATGTGTGTAGTTTGACGTTTTAACATTGATTTCTGTACACAGTTTTAGCTAGTAAGGATTTTAATTTATTTAAATGTTCACTTGGTCACCGTGTTTTTAACATTCACGCGTGAAAAATGTTTTACGTAGAATCTTTACGTATGTTTATGATCTGACCCTACATATAACATTTCATATGTGTAACTTCCATGTTGCATAAATTTTGTCATCGTATGGAGACAAATTAGATTTTGCTTTGCAATCACGTTTTTTCCTGTTCTGTAATAGTTTGACCTCACCAGAAGGTGTGTATTTTTGAAGATCTGTTAATACACTTATTTTCTGGTCCACATATTAAGTGGAACTAATGTTGCTGCCACTTCAATTATTTCTTCTCTGACTCTCCGGTCCGTATTCGGTCCATGGCCTCCTCAATTCTCCTCTTCCATTCGATCCTCTGTTAGGTCCGTCTGTCCGAGGCTTTGATCGAGGTTTCGAAACATCTTCCATTTTACGGTGCAAGGTTGTTAGCCTTGCGACCAACCCCCAACCTGGAGGACCAGGGTACCTGTCTTAGTCTGACCTCTCCCCTTCGACCAATCTAGCTAGAGAGGCCCTACCAGTAGCTCTTGGGGTCACTGAGGTACTCAAGCCCCACCACCACGACAAGGTGCAGGTACCATTAAGCGAAGACTTCAAATATTTGTACACCCATTTTTTTGGCATTATCGATGGTAATTAATTGGAATATACAACTGTATGGTGCGCTTTAGTGACGTGTCATACCAAGTTCATGAAAATAAACTAGTTTAAGTTCAAACGTTATCATGTACAGACAGTTGGACATGATGCGAAGCAACTGACTTTCATTACTTGAGAAGAAAAGTAAGCAAGTAAGTTAGCTTGTCTGTACAAACAGTTTATTACTCTGTGACTTCTTAAGCAGGTGGTTGAACGCCAACAACAGCAGCAGCAGCAGCAACAACATCAACAGCAGCAACAACAACCACAGGTAGAATATGGACGACCTGAAGGACCTCCACCCCAGTTGAGACCTCGCATCTCACTGCTTCCACCGCATACCACCGAGTACTTGGCTCTTCCTCGTACTAGGATACAGCAGTGAGTAGTTTCTGAATACGATTACAGAAGCAGTAAGAAGAGTTTAAGGTGGCTGTCTTCCGAGTCGTTGCGCCGTGCAGTCTGGTAGAAGTTAACCGATGTTTCTCTGGTGTTCGCTGCCTCTGTCGTCAGTGCGATCACATCGATGATGGAGGCAGCGGACACCTCTGAAACATAGGTTAACATCTACTAGGCTGCATGGCGCAACAACTCGGAAGACAGCCATCTTCATACTTGCTGTTATGGGAACTTGAATTCTCATGTAAGGGTAGTTCTGATACCCAGAATAAATATTGGAAACTTGCTGCCTGTGTTCATGATGAGAGTCCACCACAGAATGAAACAGACTTGTAGTGCGTCATTTTACAGTTTACTCAATAGTGGTGTGTAACTAAGCACCAAGCCATTGCGTATATTAATGTGAGTAGTTAGCTTCAACACCCAACCACTTTAACCTCAAGGAAAGAACTGAGTACCCATCGGATTTGATTCGGAATCGGCCACATAGCAGACATTGTGACAAAGAGAAAAGTTCTACTGTGTTGGGAATTGAACCCTGGTCATCAGGCCTATTGGCAGTCGCCATACTGACTGGGCTACCATGGCTCTTTAACTGTGCGAACCTGCTGTTGTTTACATCAACCTACGTTGCGAATTAAATCAACTTCAGTAATCTGTTACCTTGTCAGTTTCGTGATTCCGAGCTTTGCACATTTGATATTGTTTAGAGATCACAGACTTGACCTACAGTGAAATTCAGGTGCAAGCAGAATTTTGTAAATTATCCGCACAGTGATTCCTTTACATTGTTTTTCTTCCTTTTTAAGAAGGAGGTTTGTTTCCTGTGGCTGAGGCATCAGCACAGAATCATATGCTTGGTGTGTAGCCTTCATGGTTCTTGATTATGTTTTAATGAGATTTTAATAGGATAATGGGACAAGTGATGTGGTGTTTTGCTGAGAGGGATTCATGTCTACTTAAGCAGTTAATATTCAGTGTTCACCATGCTATGAAATTCTTAGTCTGTTTTATATGTAAGAAAGTAAGTGATATTATCTTGGCATATTTATTTTGTTGAAGGTGTTCATTATATAGATAAAGGTCAGAGATATTTTGAAAGTTTTGTCTATCAAAGTAATTATTTTGGTATATTATCTTTCCGTGATTGTCTGTTTGTTACTTGATTTTTCATGACTTAAGTGGAATTAAGTGTAGACCATTTAGATAACCTTCTTTGTCACAGTGGTGAGCATGTACAGTGCCCCAAGTTACATGTCATGATAAATTACATTTTATGCCTCTGTTTGTATGCTCGGTTACATTTGAGTTTCAAATACACCTTCATTTACATCCATGATTGTAAGTATGCGTGATACCCGGATCCCATGTCTTTAGTGAACTTGGCACATTCTGATTTGATATTCTGTTTTGGTTCTTCAATATTTCTTTTACAGTTTGGTACATGACCTTTCTGAGTGTAGTGAATTAAATTTATTTATAACATCTGTATGTTGTGGTTGGTTCCCTGTGTAGAAAATTAAGGGAGTTGTTCCTATAAAAATTAAGTTTGAAGGCATTTTAGAATTCCTACTCATAAATTAAGGAAAACAAATAAATTAAAATATCACTGTCATTCCTGTGCCATTTTAACATTAGTTCTGTCATCAGGAATTAACAGACTTTGATAAGAATTTACCATAAAAATTATTTTCCTTGTGGTATATAACATTTGAGACATCTATATGTATTTTTGTGTTACTGTGTTGAATTTATTATTATGGTATTAATTTATGTTTGTAGATTTGTTTAACTGTAGACTGTGTAAAGTATGTTTTGTTTATTTTATTTAAATTAACTGTTGTTTCTGAAAGAAATGGTTTTCCATTACTATGGTTTAGAGTTCAAGGCTCATGTATTAGAGTGTGATAAACTGTGCATGAACCGAAGCTGACAAGCGACTTTGTCCTCGTCATACTGATAGCCGAAGTAGGAACTACATTTTGCTACAAATTACCTTATAGATTTGTCTCTCCCATTTGTAATATACATGTAAGTCTGCAGACTGTGTCAACGAACAATATCTTGTGTGCCTTGCAGGACGGAACAATATCGGGATGGCATGGTGCCTGCGTTGGTACCTGCTGGTGGTGCAGCTGTTCAGCTGGATTTGGGACCACCGATCAAAAAGATTCGTTTTGGTGAGCCAAAGCCCGAAGTTCAGCAACCGCTCAGAATCGATACAAGAGTAAGCATTGCAGTTAAAAGTTAACAGTAGACGTACATATTAGTAAGATACAAAACTAGTATTCATAGAAACCACGGAACTGAGTGATCGATTATGGCAAAAAGTAAAACTAAAAAAATGCCACCACAGAAGTACAAAATGGACAGCGAGAGTCTGGTTATAAACATTTGTTTTCGTGATTAAACTTTTGCTTGTGGACTGTGGTCTTCTAGGTTAAGATTTCACATACTCTTGTAGGATGTTGCTTCTGTCCTAAAGATACGCATTGTGTTCCTCTGAAATCTTGGTAATTGCCTGTAGCGTCATGGTGCAAAAGTTCGATACGTATGTTTTCACAATCATGTAAACCTCAAATGTTGGATGCAGAGTGTTTAATTTAGCTGAAATTTGGTGGCTGCTTAACTACCTGCTATTTTCAAATGATGTTAATGGTGAAAATGTTATTTGGTGGTAATGATGTGTTTTCTGGGAATTCGTCTATTGTCTGTCCTTATTACGTCTGGATTTTGGATCAGCTGAAGCAGCTCCTGTCTGTACAGAAGCATTATCATGCGACTCTATAAAAAGACTGCTGTGTTCCTTGTTTTAACATTTGGCTTTGTGAGGAAACTTACAACTTGCATTCTGCCCTTGCGTCTCGTTATCATCTTATCTGTCTGTATTTAAGGTCATAGTTGTTATCTGTAATGTTTGTGTTTCATTATCATCATTTTCATAATAATATTGGTATGAATTTTCCATTCCTCATATTTTTAAATTATTGTGGAACATATACCCTATGCAAAATAAAAGAGGCGGAAGGAATTTTTGCTCTGTTTATTATTGTCTGATTATTTACGTAATGAAAGATAGGGGTTCGATATATTATTTTAAGAATATGTGGTTACTGATATAGACTTAAAAATTGGTTTCAGTTGAACCATCATGGTTTCTTCTTGAGAACCCATTCAGGGAGGTGCATGAGTCAATCTGTCAATCTTCTAGCCCCTCAGCCTCCCTTTTAAAATGTAGACTGATATTTTAGATACTTACTAGTGAAACTCTGAGCCATATTAAGAACATGCCATTAAGGAACAATGCATCTTGGTATATTCTAACTCCGTATTATCATTAATGCTAATAGTACTCCCTTGTAATATCCTGAGGCAGAACTTAATTGCGTCTGCATTAATTACGTCGCCTCGTCACCATCTTCCATTTTCCACTTACTTATTTATACATGATGCCACCTACAAGAGTTACCATTATTATACATTCTTTTCGATCCACACATCTCAAAAGAACGTTAGATTGGCCGTTCATGATCACAGATGGACGATACGTAGATGGGCGAGCAATGCTAGTGACATTCAGAGAAGTGTAATAGTTATTGAGGATGTTAAGATGGAGTAATCAATACATTCAAGTTGAAAACAGTAGTTATATAATTCTAAGGGAATGGCATAATGTTATAATATATTTTTGACGTAAATACGTCTATAAGGAAGGGTCATTCGGCAAAAAAGGGAAACGAAAAAGTGTAACTTCTTTGTTATGTTACCTAGGAAACCTCATCTGTTTACTCAGCATTGTTGTTACCTAGGAAACGTCTTCTGTTTACCTATAAAACATTACATTACCTTACCTTACATTACCTTACATTACATTTCATTACATTTCATTACATTAAATTCAGCTACCACAGACCCATTTTAAGCGTAACTAATTCAAGTTGATTAAGCAATGTCTTAATCAAACTTATCTCAGTTGTAAAGCATGTATAAAGGAACTATTTAGAATAAAGCCAATATATAAACTTCCTTTCCGTAAAGACGTATTTACGTCAAATTCTCCGGAACCGTGGTTCCACTATCACTTTTTGTTACTTAAGTTCAAAGCGAGACACACAGGAGTTACTGTTTGGTTTTTCATGTTTTGGTGTCTGTAATTTTTGTCTTTGTATCAGATAATCGGATATTGTTTTTCTTTTGATTCCCAGCTCACTCTTTTAGTAATTAAATATTTCATGTCGGAATTAAAATACCTTCAGATCTAATAATATGTACCATGTCGGTGATGAGTACAGTCCATATTGTCTTTTTTAGATGACCAGTGTAAAGAGGCCCATCCACGTACGAGTCTGGCTTGCGAGTCCGGCTCGGCTCGGGTTCCATTGAGCCAAACTCGTTTATGTGTGGGGTGTCACGAGCCGAGTCTGCTATGCATGTGTGGTGAAATATATCCGAGCCTGGCTCACGAGTCAAGCTCGCCGAGCCAGACTCGCAAGTCAGACTCGTACGTGGATGGGCCGCTTAACAAACATTACTTGAACCAGTCTACCCTGTCTACCCTGCAGTGCCCTTGACTTGGCCGAAATGTCCACCAGCTTTACCACTTTACTTTGACACTACACAAAAGTAATGCTTCTTACGTGCATGGTAGAACTGTTTGGAGCCGATAGTTTTCTCAGTAGGTTGGAAGGAGTGAACTTTGTTTACCCCCAATCCATGAACAAGGCTTTGGGCATGACCTCATCATTCATATTTTAATTGAAACATCACATTTTGTTGCAGTTATTTTAGCTGAAGCTCAAAGTTTATTGTCCATATGAGTTCTCAAGTAGCTTTCTGCTAACTCTGCAGTCATAAAAAAATAGAAGGGCGAAGGTGCCCTTATGATTTCAAAGCCAGATAAATGCAGGATTGAAAGGATTGATATCGAATGTGTTGATCCTCTTGTGAGAACCAAGAAGGCCAAATGGTTTAGTTAGAATTGTATGGCGCAGTGGTCCCCAACCTTTTTGTGCCTATGGGCACATTTGAGAGTTTATGAGATCATGGCGGGCACCGACCAATTAACAAAGCCAAATTTTCTTTTCTCTGGACAAATAAGATATGGACACCAAATAATACAAAAAACAACACGACGTTTAAGTACAATTATTATTACTCAAGCGGGGAGTTAGTGTGATGTTTGACTCTGCATTTCATCGGCCAGTTTTTCAAATTTGGGAGTGTAGGATGATGTTGCTGCTCGCAATCAATCGTCAAGTTGAGATCTGTGCTTTGATTTTATAATGTTCATGGTTGAATGGCCTTCATTATTCAGTATAACCTCTTTCCGTAACAACGCGGGCACCCAAAAAGGCCTTGGCGGACGCCATGACACCCGCGGGCACCGCGTTGGGGACCACTGGTGTACAGATTGTTTTTGAATATGGGTCTGCTGTTTCCCCATAGCAGGGGCGGTTGGCAAGTTGGGCACCCCTTAACATTTGCTGGCCTCCACATAATAAGCAAACAGGCTTACACTTCTGAGTATGGGAAGCCCCTGCCAAATTCAGAACACTTTGGTGGTCTCTGTGGAAGGTTGCAGGGCCCTCCTATTTTTTTAATTTTGCTGATTGGTTTTGGAATCTGTGGGACCATTGCATGTCTCCCACAACAGATGAACATTTCCCTTCTCTTGGCAGTGACTTCCCACTCTTTTTTGTTTATACAGCCTCTCTTTTTTTCTCTTCTCTGAAGGTCAGTAGCATTTCCCCTTCTACCAAGGATTCCTATTCACTCCCCCCCTCCTCTATTCTGCAGCAGACTGTGTTGGTTAGCATTCATAAATCATGCAACACAGCAGAAAACACTGAGGCATGATACAGTATAATTTTTATTTACATTAGAATGGGGCCTTTTCAGCAGATATTATATGTAAGCTTTGGCAACATTGCATTTGTTTTCTGTTGACCTAGGAAGAAAGTATTTCTTTGTAATTATGTAGCTTTGTGGCCCGAATAGTTATTTTTCAACAGTTTCATCTGTGAAGAATTGTTTCTCAGACAGTTCCATCTGTGGTGAAAGTATATTTAAGAACAATATTTATTTAAAAGTAAAATGAGATTGCCAAGTTGCAGCATTTGCATGGAGGAACCAAGGAATACCGCAGATATTCGCAGTCAGGTTAGCTGGTCGCTAGGCTAAGATTTGAACTAGACTGTCAAACACTGCTGTTGGTTGAAAGTTACGAGTTTGTTTTGTTGTTTACGAACAGTTTAAAAAGTAGAGATTGATTATTTTTATGCAAGAAATTGCTTGGTTTTTAAGTAAAGTAAAAACAATCTTATTTTTACTGCTGTTTGACATTAATAGGAAGGGCGTACTATTGAAATTTTCTTGTGTTTTTTCTGTTTGAGACAAAAATGACTCTACACTTTGCCCTATTGGGCTCCACAATATTTAAATGTTTTGAAGTACAGGTTAGGTTGGAATATATGCTGTTCTTATTAAGATGACTGTATATGGCATTGGCTAGAACTGGGTTGCATTTGTGTCTGATTTAAAATTTGACTACAAGATGCAAACTTGTTTTCAGGAGGTGGCTGTCTTCTGGGTTGTTGCGTTATATAGTCTGACAGTTTCCCTGATGAAGGTAGCATCACCTCTGAAATGCCAGTAAACTTCTTCCAAACCACACGGCACAATAACCCAGCAGACGGTCATCTTCATACTTGCTGCTGTAAAACTTTTTTAAGAAGGTGATTATATCAGTTTATTTGTACCAGTTCGACCATGTAGTTCCCAAGTGAAATATGTTTATATTTGGTCGCAGGAGCAGCCTGCATACAACCCACAAGTGGAAGCCATCTCGCCAACATTGCCACCTGACTCGATGCAGGCAGACGCTGACTTTCGAGCTACCAAGGATGAGCTGCTACAGCAGATCGGGAAGGTGGACCGTGAGATCGCAAAAGCCGAATCACAGATCTCAAAACTGAAGAAGAAACAGCAGGAGTTGGAGGAAGCTGCAAGCAAACCATCAATAAAAAAGGAAGAAGAAGAGATAGCGCAGCCAAAACACCAGAGCCCTGCTCAGAAGATCTATGCTGATAATAGGGTAAGTACTAAGACAAGGAATGAATTTTGTCGCGAGGCCCTCGGATCTCACTTATATATGTTACTGAGACCCTAAATTGTTATCATTTAAATCAGAACACAATCAGGAGAAGATGGAGTGTTGTGAATGCTTTTAACATAAGGTGTTGTGTAGCTGGTTTAAAATTAATCCAGAATATTGACCATGCCATGTTACAAAATGTAAAAATGGCACTGGCCTGTTTAATTTTTTATAAAAAATGAAACTAAATGGAGTGGAATGAAAATTCCAGGTCAGACATATTTTTTTGATGTAAATACGTCTAGGAGGAAGGGTCATTCGGCAAAAAAGTGTAACGAAAAAGGGGAACGAAAAAATGTAAGATGGTTACCTAGGAAACATCATCTGTTTATTGATAAACAGATGACGTTTCCTAATTAACCATTGTTGTTTATTTGTCAACAAATAAACAGATGAAGTTTGTTAGGTAACCATTGTTGTTTATTTGTTGATAAACAGATGACATTTCCTAGGTAACCACCTTACATTACGTTACATTACATTACCTTACCTTATCTTACCTTACATTGAATTGAATTGAATTGAATTGAATTACATTACCTTACTTTACATTACATTACATTACCTTACCTTACATTATATTCAGCTACCACAGACCCATCTTAAGCGTAACTAATTGAAGTTGAATAAGCAATGTTTTAATCAAACTTATCTCAATTGTAAAGCATGTATAAAGGAAATATTTAGAATAAAGCCAATATATAAACTTCCTTTCCGTATAGACGTATTTATGTCAAATTCTCCGGAACCGTGGTTCCACTGACAACTTTTTTTTTTGGCTATATCCTGACCATAATCTGCAGTTGATTGAAGAGTTATTTAAGAAATGTAATTTACAAATGAATTATGTGGGGTCCGCATTGGCCGCACAGGTCTTGTGCTGCTTGGTCTCAAGGACCTTGGGTTCAAATCCCATTCAAGCCATGGATGTTGTTCTGTGTTGTGCTGTCCTGTGTACAGGTAGAGGCCTTGCGACGGGCCAATCCCTCGTCCAAGGAGTCCTACCGAACGTCCATAGATCAAGCCAACTGAAAAAGGTTGGGGATCAGTAAAGGGTACCGGGAAATGTACAAACATCGTTATGCCGGAAAAAGAAGAAGAAATTAATTATGTTAATGTGATTTTATTTTGTTTCAGAAAAAGGCCCAAGAAGCACATTCATTGTTAGAGAAATTGGGACCTAAAGTTGATCTGGTGAGTCATACACACATTGTTTTTAAGAGAGCAATTGTTGATGGTCCACACTAAATTTTCATTCTTTTGTTGAAGGTTACTTGTATAACTGGTAGCATGTAATATTGGAGTGTATAATTTCAAAGTAGTGATGAAAATTTTAGATGATGTTATTTCTGTTTTTTGTGTGTTTAATTCAGCTTATACTGCTTTTTTCAGCCTCTTTACAATCAGCCTTCAGATACAGCAGTCTATCATGAAAATAAAAGAAGGTATGTTGAATTCAATATTGCTGTAAACATTTGTTTTGAAGTAGCCATTGCACTGGACAGTTACGAAATCGTAAGTTGTAATTCAGGTTTCAGGCGATTGAGAGATTTGTGCATAATTTACATGCATCCAAATTTGAAGGAACTCTTTAAGATTCAATGATTTTATTGTAGGGATAACAAGAATTCAAGGTTTCTAAAATATCTACTTTACCTCAGACCAACAAGCAATAATAATAATGATGGAGGAAATGATAAGCAAGGACAGTCGGAGGCAGCATGACTTGGAAATGGACAAGTAACATGAACTACAGGCTATTCAAATATTCACTGTGCAATTAACTACAATCTGTCAGTATTGCCATTGCTGCAGCTTCATACTGCTCGAGCCTGTACCAGTGTTGCCAAGTTGTACATTACTACCCAACCTATTCCAGCTTAACGATGGCAGACATCTTTGCAACTGACCATTGCTCATAACTGCAACTGCACAGTGACTTTTTGAATGCACTGTATATAGAGAGGGGTCCGCAGTGGCTGCGCATTCTGAGGCGTGGGCCTTGTGCCGCTTGGTCGCTGGGACCATGGGTTCGAATCTCACTCAAGCCATGGACGTTTATCTGCATTTTTCTGTGTACAGGTGGAGGCCTTGAGACGGGCTGATCCCTCGTCCAAGGAGTCCTACTGAATGTCTACAGATCAAGCGAATGAAAAGTTGGGACCCGCAGTGCTCAGGCACTTGAAGAATGGGTCGTTCCCAATGTCCAGTATATAGAGAATTTATTACTGATCCTTTTTAGCACCCTTGTTTCATATTCCGGGTAGGACTGGCTAGCCTTGCTAAGATTTCCCGTAGTATTCCTCCGTCTCTTTGGGCATGTAATTCCAGGATGGCGCCTTAAATTGGGCCATAAATGGTTCCTTCCGCATCCTTTCCAATTTATTATTCATTAATCATCTTTTCATTGATGCAGTATTATCTGACCTGTTGACGGTATTGCTAAATAAACTGTGAAATAATACCTACAGTTTTTAAAGTTGAAACTAAAGGGAAGCCTGTTGCGATATCGCTATTTTACATGTACACCAACACGCGCCTTGTGGGTTGTGGTCTCAATGTTCCACTTCTAATTTTATGTATTTTTCGGTCACCAGTTTTGTCCTATGTCATTTTAGTAAGATACAAAATTGTTAATTGGTCTTGTGCGCAGGAATTTAACATTCAAGAGAAGGTTGATGGAGTATTTCAAGCGGAAACACTCGGACCGCGAGAGCCGGGAGAAGTACCTGACTGCCACATACTCAAAACTTATGCAAGAATGGCTTAGAAAAGTTGAGAAAGTGGAAGCATCGCAGAAACGCAAAGTGAAGGAAGCCAAGAATCGAGAATTTTTTGAAAAGGTGTTCCCCGAGCTGAGAAAGCAACGGGAAGATCGAGAAAGGTTCAATCGTGTCGGCGCACGCATCAAGAGTGAGGCAGATCTGGAAGAAATAATGGATGGGCTTCAGGAGCAAGAGGTACTGAGTTTACAATGTAGATTGTAAATATGGAAGATGGAAAGAAATGACATAAAGCCTATAAGATAAGCAAGCAGACTTTATCTGTTCTATTAAGTTCTTGTTTCTTTAAGCTGCAAATTATTCATTGTTCTTGGATACAGCAATTTGTAACCCATTTGTCTGCAGTTGGAATGGACTGTACTAGGTGTCCTTTGTGGAAGGCACTGTTAATTATTCGGTTCTTTTCTACTTCATATCTCGCTGCCATAGGGAATCTCGTACCATGTATGAGTCTCCAGAATGCAGGATGACCTGTTTTTTTTCTAATGTTGATTTGGCTGACCGTTTTTTAGTGTCCACGTTTTTGACCTATCAGTTCCTAGTCCTGTGGCAGAGCTCAGTTTGCATGCCCTCCATCGAAGAAGTGGTTATTTTTTGGATGAATTGTGTTTTGAGAGTGCGTAGGGTACGCTGTTTGTCGATCAGTGTCGCTGTATTGGCATTTTCTGTAGAATGATAATCCTGAGGATATGAATGAACTCTGGGTCACTGTTTGTTACAAAGAGAGGTTTTTTTTATAGAATTGCATTTAATTTCTTGAGGTGTCATCAAGTTTGAAATATTTACTAAGCACAAATTAATTATATTTTGCTGGATTGTCATTGTCATCATCATCTCTATTTCACAGAAATCAGGATTTTGTGTTTTCATTAACCAGTAAATTATGCAGGAACCACAGAGCTTGAAAGCCCAAGCTCTTAAATTAGGTTGTCGTAATCTGGCTGATGCTTAGGAGCTGATTTTCATGTGCATGTTACAAGATTGCACTACTATCGCAAAATATGTATTTTGAATACCTCTATCTTGCCACAGACAGAAATCTCTCTTATTTTATTATAATTTCGCAAGATGACATAGCATGATGGTTCTTGCATAGCCTGTAACACGTTTAAATGAGTTTAGGACGATGGCTGAGTTACTGGTTAATAGTGACACATAACAACAGTTGTGTTTGTTGATTATAACAGATATGTGTGTCATCAGAGGAAGTAAAATTGTGCTTGAATCCAAAAACCAGTTTTGAGTAAATCCTAAGTTAGCAGTTCCGGCAGGTGCTTTAAAATAACTGGAGTAAAAGATGAACTAATCATCCCCTGAAAAATGTGTTACAAGATCTTGGTGCCACTTCAACATATTGGTTTAAGCATTGATATGTGCGGTTGCATTTTTTTATACTGGCACTCTCCTCTGTAAAGAAAGGTAGGTTTATAGTATCAAGTGTGGATCCAGCCCTCATTCCAGTAACTTATGAACTTTGTTGACCAGTTCTTAAGCTAATGCAGTGAGGGTTAGACACACAGATTTACATGAAACTTGGTGTGGAGGCATGCCACTGGATTTTTATTTCCTATCGTCAGTAACATCATCAGTGTGAACTTCTGAGGTGGGTGCAGCATTAGTGACACATTTTAAGCGAAAAATGACTTTTCAAAGGTCACAGTTTTTAGATTGTAACATAACATGGTGGCAGTGCAAAATCTGTAGTTATATCCATTTGGTGATAGTAATAAGTGACAACTGCAACTAAGAATATGAAATTTTTAGGTTATGTCTTTTCAGGTTGAAGGAATTTGTATTGGTAGACATGCACAGATGTATACCATTAAGTTGTAAAATTATTAGTTGAGTTCTTCTGGTATCCTTAAAAGAGAAACCCATTTAAGGGAAGTGAGCATTGTAAATTGTTTCCAGAACTTCTTGTTTTGATTTAGATGATGTATGTGGATACCCATTGAACACGAATTTTGAAAGACTGATGTACGTTCTGTTGATGTTTTTAGGTTTCGCTGTAAAGAGATTCCAATTATTGTAAGTGAATAAGAGTTCTGGAAGTAATTGATGGAACATTGATTCAAATCTACATGTTCACCCTGCAAATTTTATTGGAAGAAGAGATGTAAAGAGTTTTAAAAGTATTGAATTCAGATATCCCTCAATGGCCTAACTTTCATTCTGAGTTTGACATTTTCAGCACCTTGTAAAGGGGGCAAGAACATGGATTTGCTAGAAAACCTTTTTCTTTGTAAGAAAATACCATCATAATTTCTTGCCATTCAGCTACGAGGCATTTTGTATTGTGCTGCTGTTAAATGCTGTTATTACTGGTACAGCAGATTCAGACAAAGTGGTTGCAGTTAATAAAAATACTACTATGTAACTTATTAAATGATATGTATATAGTGTTCTTTGCAGGTTCTAATTTTTTTCTTTAAGTTCTATTAAATGTTTGCAGATGTTTTAAAAATTACAAAACTTCAAGAAAGGAGTCGGGGATAAAAGTAGGACGTGTAGGACAACCTAAAATCTGATTATATTTTATGTGCTTTAGTTTGATATTTGTTTTACTATTATTTGATTTACAGTAAAATTTTAACACTTGTGCAGTATGGTCACTAATGTTATTGCATACAAGACTGTTCTGAAATTGGTGGCTGCAGTAATATTACAGTGCTCATATTATTGCATTGTTAAGACCAATACCTAATTGTTTTAAAACATTGTGATTGTTAATATCTTTCAGATGGAGGATAAAAAGATGCGTTCATATGCGGTGATTCCACCAATTCTTCTGGATGCTCGACAGAGGAGGGTGACATACGTTAACAACAATGGGCGCATTGAGGACTTCACTACAGAGTACAAAGAGCGCCAGCTGTTGAATGTTTGGACAGCGACAGAACATGATGTATTTAAAGAAAAGTATCTTCAGCATCCAAAAAATTTTGGTGTGATAAAAACGTACCTGGAACGGAAAAGTGTGTGTGATTGTGTCCAACATTATTATTTAAGTAAGAAGACTGAGAGCTATAAGCAGTTGCTTCGAAAGTCACGGCAGAGAACGCGGGCGAGTCGCAACAATCCTCATGGGAAACCATCAAATGCATCTCAGAATAATCTTGCGGATGTTCTTAGTGGTCCAACAGGTGTTACTACTCGGTTACAAAGAGAACAGCAACAAAAACAGGAGCAGCCTAATAGTAGTGCTTCAAACACTAATAACAGTGCTAGTGCTACTTCTGCCAGTACAGCTCTGACAACAGCAGCAACAGTGTCGACGTCCAGTTCCACCATCACTACCAACTCTACAACGCCGCCATCCAATGCCGTCACCTCAAATTCATCTACTTCCACAACCACTTCAGTATCTGCAATTACCACAGCCTCAGAACAGTCCCAACTGTCAGCGACAATAACAGCCACAACGTCAACGACAGCGACTACCACAAACTCGGCATCTTCGGTCACCGTGACGACAGTCGCTTCTTCGACAATAGTAGCATCGATATTAACTGTTTCTGTGACGTCATCAAGTCCTGTTATCTCCGTGTCAGCAACTGCCAGTGTGAATGTTGTGTCCAGTAGTTCTGTTAGTAACGGCAACAACAACAATAACAACAACAACAACAATAACAATAACAACAACCTCACACCTTCTAAGGATCAGCATCTACTCAATGACAAGGATGGTGTCGATAAAGAGAATAAGAATAACAGGTAAGGAAATAACTTTGTGTTATGTTGCATGTGTGCATATGGTAAATTTTGTAGTTGTTTCTTGTTTATTTTTGTTATTCTGTAGTTCTGTATCGCTGAGTTAAAGCAGTGTTGAATGAGTTAATCACAGAATTATTAAGCGTAATGGATGGAAGGTGATCATGCAAGGAAGAAGCAGTTATTACGTATTCTGAAGTACTACGCTTGTTTTTCGTAGGGCTTATTAATTATCTGCGGCCAGATTTGAATAGTGTATCTCTCGATGGCGAGTCAGACGCATTACTGATGTCTGTAAACGTATATAGTGGATTTTTGACCAGTTTAAACTTACGACATTCCGGTCACGGAAACTAGCAATGGCTGGGGGTTCGCCGTGCTGACCACACGTCACCCTATATCTGGTTGGATGATCGTTCACCTCTGCTTAGGCATGTAAACGTGAGGCCAGCAGCCAGCTAGTCGGCTTTGGCTCTCAGAGGGCTGTTACCCCACGGATTATTATAAACTTACGACATTACCATAACTTCAAAATCAGTCCAGTTTCATACAAATTTAGCTTTATTATAAAATTAAAGTCTTACTATATGTTATTTACTTGTTCATGAGCTGTGATGTAATTGTAAATTTAATTAGCACATTATAAGACATAATGTACTCACTGTCACGCTGATTAATTTTAATGTAAGTAGAATTGTCTTGCCATATGTTGGTGCTTGCTTTAACAAAGTTTTCCACGTGCTTAATGAAATTAGAATTTGAACAGCCAGTCTGTTCAATTTGTCACAATTATCTGTTGTGGTACATCTTCATTATCACAAGCATGTTGGTATTATGTGTGACAGAGAAATGTTACAGAACTGTCAGGAGTAATAATTTTACGTTCAGTGTACACCCAATTATTTGGGTTAATGGAATGTTATTTGTGATGTTCTTTAGAGTCACATGAACAGTGGAATACACTATATTTACATTTTTCTTGGGAATGCTGAGAAAGGGTATGCATTTTAAGAAAGTGTAATTTGCAGGAAATGCTGAAGTCCTAAGCTTATTATTATCTTCACCTTAGTGCCTCATTGGAATGCTCTGCAAATAATGTAGGCGAATTGCTAAGTAACGTACGGACATTTTTGTTACATGATTCCCAGACACTACTAATATATTGTATGATGTCGCAAGTTAAAATTATATTTTGAAACCTATCTTTGCGCAAGATAAGTAGTGTATTAACTTCTTTTAAAAATATGTGGTATTTTTCACATTGATTTGGATTTATTCCAATGACTTGATGATTTTTGGTTGTGGCATTCAGAATTGACCCTAATGCTGGAAACAGACAGGGTGGGGTCAAGGGAGAGGTTTTGGGGACAGTGAGCGATACGTTTCTAAAGTTCTTAAGAGAAAAAGTTTGGTGTGTTGCAGGAAGGAGAGGGTTAATGGAGGCATGTTTGGTGTATCTGCGTGGTTCTTGGGTTATTTAATGGTGTATTGGTTGCATAGTTTAATGACTGGGTATTCAAGTAATTTTAAATGATCCTAAATAGTGTTTATGTATTGGATGTAGAAATTAATATCCCCCCCCACACACACAGAGCCCTGGACTGGGCATGTGGATTAAAGTAAAGTATATGCGTTTTAACACTAGTGGTTAGATTTGGGATGAGATGTGTTTGTGATTATAAAGCTTTTTGGATTTTCCCAGGCACTCCCCTGGTCAGTTACAACCATTTAAAATTATGTGAATAGCCTGAAGTGAACACCAAGGGAGGTATTTTAGAGAAGTTACAAGTGTTCTGAACATGTTTTGAGAAAATTTTTAAAAATTTATTTGTGCATGGATGCTGTTTAAGTACAGTAGGGCCCCGCTTTTCGGTGCTCCGCTTTATGGCGATCCGCTAATACGGCGCTCAACAGCTGAGTCAGAGAAGTGCGTCCGGCGCCATTTTCTCGTCGCTGATTCAGTCTGTTTACAGCTTTTGTGCGCTCCGCGTCTCTCTGTATTTCTGGCAATTTTTCAGTTATTACAAACTGTATATTTATATAATATTTTTGTGTTACTACAGTGTAATTACAAAGACGTCTAAGGGTAGTAGCGATAAAAAGAGGAGTCGTAAGCCTCTTACTTTAAATGCCAAGTTAGAGATGATTAAACTTCGTGAACAAGGCATGTCTATGGCTTCCGAACCATCACCAAAACGAATAGGATTCGTTGAAGAGTCACATGATGAAGATGCGCCATCTCCTTCATCCTTCCTACTATAAGCATATCAATTTTCAAATTTATATTCACCAATCACTATAAGCTGAGGACAATGTGTGTATTACTGATATTCATTTAACTTTCATATCATTTTCTTAGGCCTAGCGCTATTGTGCACTTACTATATGATAGTGTAACATCTTATTAGGCTTTGATATGCATTTGCAAGTGAAATAAGGCAAAGATCCGCTTTTCGGCGATTTTCGCTTTACGGCGGGGGGCTGGTCCCTAACCCGCCGTATAAGCGGTGCCCTACTGTACATGTTTCTAATTTTCACTTCTTTGTTCATTACTACGCATCTGCTAAACAATTTTACCTAGGCGTACAACTAAATGTATAATGAGAAACAAGAAGCAATGAAGGAACATTTCCGGTTATATTCGTATGACATTATTTGAATGTAAAATTTGAAGTGGTGTTGCCCCTGACTTTTGTTCAGGGGGTTCCCAGTTTAGTTCTTGGGCGAAACCCTGACAGTTTTCTTCCTATCAGTTCTTCGCGATTAACGCCTGCAAGAGGACATCAAAACATCACGACCCATCTTTTTCCTTTACTTAACTGTAGTCTGAAGCATCTTTACAAATGTTTTTGCTGGAAATGTGTAAACTGGAGCTTCTTCCTGTCATTTTGGAATATGAAGTACTTTCTGCCTGAATGATCTGAAAACTTGTTTAAATTTGCCTATTATACCAAATATATAAATATCAGCTAAACACTACCTTAGGTGATGAAGCAATGAATAGCTAGCAATTTTTTAATTGATAAAAAGCAATAATTTTGTAGCCAGAAGAATACTGCGTTGTGCTCTTACACTAGCGTGAGTACTGTTCTGTAGGTGCATAATACAAAGGTGGAGGTTACGCAACTAGTTATGGTGTGAAGATTTCTGTCTTCTGTGTTCTTGCGCTGTGTAGTCTGGTCGATGTTTACCAACGTTTCAGCGGTTATACTGCCTCCTTCATCAGGGCGATGAAGTGTGTCTTTCCCATGTCAGCGTACTTCTAATTACTTGATATTAGAGCACTTGTAATTGTGTTAGAATGAAGTGGACCAAATAAACCTATGTAGAGGCTGTTCCAGCGGTTATTTTTTTGGTCTAGGATAACCAACAGTCTGGTGGTAGTGGTAGTGATTATGATGGTGATTATGTGAGAATCAGCTGTTTACATTTTTATTTTTTGTCATGCAGCAAGTTCGTGACGGCACATCAGTATAAATGGCTCACAGTGCTGAGTGGTGCATCGTACATTGTAATGTGGTTTTCGTAGTTTGAAAATGATTAGTCTGAAATGCAGTGCGATGTCAGCGGAAAGAGCAATCCATTTATTGGTTAAAGTTTGCATTTGAATGATCAAACATTGTTGTTCGGTTGGGAAGACATTAAGTAAATTGTTATGCAAATCATGTTATCCTGGTTTCCCCCTGCTGGTGAATCTCTGCTTCACATTCTGTATTTTATGAATTGCTTTAATGAATGTAAAAAAGTATTACATTTTTGACATAAAGATGATCTTACTAATGGATTTGCTGTGAATAGATGGAATTAATTCAATATTCCATAGTGGATTTCTTGATCACTTTAATGTGAATTATTTTTTTTCGTATGGTAACAGCAGTATTGGAACCAATTAATTATTGTAGTGGAAATGTTTGTCTGCGGGATTTTCAATTTAATGATTACTGTTGCCCTGCAACTTCCATTGAGCTCATTCGGAGAATCTGGCAGGATATTTGCTAATTAATACTAACAGATTTCAGTCATTCAATTATACTTTATGGAAGAAGCATTGAGTAACGGCTGGCTTGGAATCAGAGCTAAGCAGCCGAATTATACGACAAAATCAAAATGGGAACTTTTAAAAGGAGTAAGATTTTTATGTCTGACACTACAGAATAATTTTTTTAAAGATTATAATTAGTTTTGGATAAAATTAAACTTTATGTATGTATTTTTAATTTGAAATGTTGTTACCCAGTACAAATTAGATGGAAGATGGTGATTTTCATTTACAAATAGATTTGATTTATTTAAGCATTATAATGCAATCTCTTTTAACCAGCAACTTTTCATATGTGAATTACTGTTCGGTGAACTCGTAGTATGAAATCCAAACCAAGGTAACCTATTTTCTGCAGATTGCTTTTTCTTTGGGTTCATGATTGGAAGGTTTTGGTCAGTGAAGTGGAATACAATAGTGCCCGTCTGACAAATTAATTGCTACGTAGGAAAAGATTTGTTTTATTCAGTTTAAAGTATGCTTTTATGCTACAGAATTCTCAGTTTTAAGTTATAATAAAACTGAGTTGCCATGGATGTTCTGGAATCGGTGAACTGTCATTTCTTAACGTCCGGCATTTAAAGAAAAACAACAGTTCAACTCGATCTATTCTTATTTAGGTACACAACTTTGTAACAGACCCAGCGTGCATGATTATGCATTGACAAGACTTACCGCTTCCCAGATATTATTTTAGATGTTCTGGATATTAATGCCATGTCTTATGGGTACAATACTGGTACATCTTCTTCTTCTTCTATGGCTGTCTGGTCCGTATTTGGTCCATGGCCTCTGCAATTCTCCTCTTCCATTCGATCCTCTGTTAGGTCCGTCTGTCCGAGACTTTGATTGAGGTTTGGAAACATCTTCCTTTTTACGGTGCAAGGTTGTTAGCCTTGCAACCAACCCCCAACCTGGAGGACCAGGGTAACTGTCTTAGTCTGACCTCTCCCCCTCGATCAATGTGGCTAGGGAGGCCCTACCAGTAGCTCTTGGGGTCACTGAGGTACTCAAGCCCCACCGCCACGACAAGGTGCAGGTACCAATAAGTGGGACTGGTACATCCTCAGTGCACCGATAATACCGTACTTCCCAAATAGGATAGGAGCGTTTATAAGATGTATCTGTGTGTGTTCAGTTTGTAAATATTTATTGTAAGACACTTGATGCAGCTACCCTATTTGTCAAAGCTGGTTGTAATGGAGAAATTAATTTTGATTCAGTTTGGTGATGATGATATTTTGGTTTACAGTGAAGGAAAAATTGAGAACAAGAAGAAGGAGCGCAGAAAAGAGGAAAAGAAGAAAAAAGAGGAAGTGGAGACAAGTGATGAAGAATGTGCTGACACACAAGGTAAGCCCCTTTTACAATTAAACATAGAGAAATTTAATCTGATATTAGAATGACGGACTGGTTTGTAAGATTTCTCCACAGGGAATTTGGCAGTTGTTCTTAGGAATGGCGTAAATATCCGTGAAGGCTTTTGGGTGAGTAGAGGAGGTGTAGATCCTACTCGTTCTTGACCTCG